GAGTAAATGCTAAATAGCTAATGATTGATTGTTTTATTGTATTCAAATAATGCAGCAAAAGACTATGAGCAGTGCGTGAGAGAGCTATTAACAAACGACTGGCCGCTACTAGTGTAAACGTAGTCTAATGTTGTTTAACAAAATAACTACGCGAAGCCTACATTTATCAAGAATAATCAACTAAGGTATGCTAAATGAGGAGCCCTAATAAAACTCTAATGTATTGGCTAAACAATCAGGTTGAAGAAATAAAGAATAAATAATAAGAAAGTGTTGGTTTGAGGTAGCTCGTCTGGAGTCATCGTCTTATAAATCTAACAGTTTTTCTAAGTAAGGGCAATCTGGCATTTGATGGGGTTTAAGTGAAAAGTATTATCTCGGGGTAGAATAAGATCACAGCCGCTGCACTGGAAAGTTCCTGTCTGAAGGTGGTTAAATTATAAGGATTCAACGGGAAAATGGGAAAGGGTTAGTTCTGATATGTGGGTTTAGGACGAATTCCGAACATGATTCTAACCAACACTCATACCCGCACCCACTCCCACACCCTGTTTGTAAGCCTTCTTTCTGAGCATTTCTTCTGGTTAGAGTGTGGGTGTATTGGTGTGGGTGGGTGTGCGTGTGGGTGTGGGTGGCTGTGGGGTGTGCAGTGTGGGTGTGTGATTCTCGATCAAGTTTTTCAATTTACACCCACACACGTACACACACCCACACCCACACCCACCCACACACCCCACACACCCACACCCTCTATCACCACTGTTATTTTATATTTCAATATTATGAAAGCAATATCGGTCTACATACTAGCAAAAATAAAACTTTCTCATACGTTAGAGATTTATCTGTGGAGCAGAAAAAAGTAAATCTGTAATTGAAACGAATTTAATGAAAAAAAACCGTTTTTCTTAATGATTTGTATCTTCAAGTATTTGTTTGATTTTGATAGCATCTAAATAAGCTCGTTGTTGAACAACATCTGGATGATTATTTGGTAAAGTTTTGCATAATTGAGCAAGCGCTTGATTAGCTGCAATAAATGCTTGATCGAGTTGATTCATACCAAAATACGCGGTGGAAATATTCGAATAAGTATCAGCAATAGTTTTTGCATTATTCGGCACTGTTTTCAACTCAATATTCAATGCTTTTTGATAAAAAAGAAGAGCTTCCTTATATTTTTTCAATTTATAATAAATACTAGCAGTTCGATGATATAGACCATTCAATGAATCATCATCTTCACGTAAATGCGCACCATATAGTTCAAGAGCTTCTTTATAATAAATTAATGCTTGTTCATATTCATTTTGTTGATGATAAATATGTCCTACATATTGGACCAATGCCGCTACAGCAGGTATATCAGTCTGAGATAATTTTTTCATTTGTTCGACAGCTTTTAGAGAATATTCTAAAGCATCTGACCAACGTAATAAATCAGCATAAGCTTTAGAAATATTGAAATATCTAGCAGAAATAGAAGTGTGATTATCAGATAATGACCTTCGTTCAATTTCTAATGCTTTCTTGTAATAAATTAACGCTTTTTCAATTTGATCTTGTTTATAATAGATGCTAGCTATACGATCATAAGTCGAGACTAATGATGGATGATTTGGTGAAAAGTATTGTTGTTGAATTTCAAGTGTACGATGAAAATAATTCAATGCTTCTTGATAGTTTTTTTGTTGATGATAAATATGAGCTACATGCTGAGTGTATGATATCAGATTGGATGGATCAGCTTGAGGTGATTTATTCACTTGTTCGATCGCTTTCAGGCCAAATTCCAAAGCAAGTGACCAACACAATAAACCGGCGTAGTCTTTAGCAATGTTTGAGTAACTGACAGCAATGGAAGGATGATCATTAGACAATGAACTTTCTTCATTTTCTAATGCTTTGTAATGATAAGATAATGCTTCTTCAAATTGATTTTGTTTATAGTATGTATTAGCTATACAATTATAGGTTGTAGATAATAATGGATTATTCGGTAAAAAGTATTGTTGTTGGATTTTAAGTGCACGATTGAAATGATCCGATGCTTCTTGATATTGTCCTTGAGAAAGACAAATAGTACCAGTTGTTAGTGAACAATTAGCCGAGGCTGATGGATCCGATCGAGAAGTATCTTCTTGTAAAGCAACAGCTTTCTCATGATATAAAGCTAATTACAGAAAAAAAGAGAAGAAAATTAAATGAAATCAAAAAAATAGTATCGTACTAACTCGCTTGTTCGTAATCACCATGTTTATAACAGATTGCACTGATTACATTGTAAGTATTCGTCAATGATGGATCATTTTCGCCCAAATATTGTTTTTGTAATTCGAGAGCACGTTTGTGATGTTCAATAGCTTCATCGTATTTTTCTTGTTGATAATAAATTGATGCGATATTATTTCTATAAGTGACAATCGATGAAATATCAGGATTTTTCGCATTCAATTGACAATCCAAAGCTAACTGATGAAATGTTAAGGCTGTCTCATAGTCAGATTGAGTTGAATGAACGAAACCAATATTACTGTAAGTCGGCGATAATTTCGGATGATCAGCTGGTAAAAAATTCAAATAAATAGAAAGTGTTTTGCGGAAATGATCTAAAGCTTTTTTTGATTGCCCTCGTTCAAGATAAATTAAACCGAAAGCATGATGAATGGAACCAAGTACAATAGGACTGACGGCTAAAGAACCACCGTCACCAAATATCTCAGCAAATTGATCAACACTACTATATTGTGCTAATTCATGCATTAATTTTAAAAGTGAGAGAAAAGAATGAGATGAACGAGTTTCTTCACGAGTAAGTTTTGTATATTCTGCTAATTGCTCATCAATATCATCACTTAATGTTAATTGAACACGATAAAAGTCTTTTTGCTTGTCAATATGAAGAATACGAAAAACACTACCCATTGAAAAAAGAAGTTCACATTCGCCATTTTCTCCTTGTTGATAAGATAATTGCTCGATATTAGCAAAAGGAAACTTTTGTATAGTTGGATCAATATGTATTTCAAATAAAACACCAACTTCTGATCCCCAAAGAAAGTTAAGAGCAACGTCTCGTTTAAGTGAAGTTGATAAGAAATTATTAAAAGAAAGAAAACCACCAACATTTTGTTTGAGTTTCTCAATTTGATCCTCTGACATACTTTGACCACGATAAACAATCACTGATGATAAATGATCACGTTGTAATGATGCTTGAAATAAAATTTGTTGATGAAGATGACGAACAAAATATCGTAATTTATAAAGAACATCTGGTTGTGGTGTCCATAATGCTTTATTTAACATTCTATAAAGAAAACATTCTCTTGTATACCAATAAATAGAACGTTCAGGGTTAAACTCGTTTTCAAATTTGTCCAAAATCTTCAATGAATTTTGACTTCCAGCACATTCATTCCGACAGAAGGCTAACATATCATTTTTAGTTTGTTTCTCTGTTTCGTTCTGATGATCATTTAAAATAATTTCTTTTAATAATTGAAAATACATAAATGATGGGTCTTGTCGATTAACATCATTTGAAGTGACATCTGCAGAAGAAACAAATGAAATTGAGACAATATCATTTCCAGATTGACTGATGCTTTCTTTTATTTGATCACAAATCAATTTCATATCATTATAAAATCCTTTAATTTTCTCATAATCTTTTGTCCATTTGTCATTTGCTGATTTATTCGAATTGAAGACATAGATTGAATGTATTTGTTCGCAAGAATGAATAACAGGCATAATAATGTGAGCAAATTCATCCAAAGTAATTAACAATATTTTTGCATTTTGATTATTAATAATAAAATCCACGCATTGATGAGTATTATGGAAACCTCGGAACGAATTAACGACATTTCGAAGTTGGTCTTGAGCATTGGCATAATCTTCTGATCGAATATGTTGTTTATCAAGCCAAACACAAATAAATTTTGAATCAATTCTTCCATGTGACATTCTTGTAAATCGTTAACAAATTTTACAGGACTCGTCAGTCGGAAGAAACGAAGGAAACGAGACACCATGTGTTTCTTTCTGTTTTTTTTCATTCTCCTGCTATAAAGAAAATATCTACTAAGGGTGTGGGTGTGGAATGGGGTGTGGGTGTGAGTGTGGGTGGGTGTGGGTGTGGAATGGGGTGTGGGTGTGGGTGTGAGTGTGAGTGTGGGTGTGGCTAGGTTGGGGTGTTGGTGTGTGGTGTGGGTGTGGAATGGGGTATGGATGTCTTGAGGTGTAAGCGAAGAAGACGCACACCCACATTCCCACACCCACATCCCACCCACCCCAACACCCACACCGCCATCCACGCCCATACCCAAGCTTACATTATTTAAAAATCAACTCAGTCAGCTTTGTTACAAGTGATTCTCCGAGTATTTCACGTTTTATTACGATATTTTTTCACCTAAGTTTACACCCTAGACTGTTCAAAACATCTGAACAGTATATCTGAGGTGTTCTTTTATCAGCATAAATTATGGTACAATCGCTAAGATAGCCATTATATAGAAATTGGCAACGAAAAAAAAGATAACTATCAAAAAATGAAGTGACGAGTGTCAATTTAATCGAAGATCGTGGCCTCTCTGAATCATATTGCTATGACACAAAGAGACCGAGTTGTGTTGCTTCAGGCTCAAGACAAGAGTTGATCTCCGACCGCGGCTCGTCGAAGTATTTCATTTCGTTCTTTCTCTTATAGTGTTGAATGATTGAAGTTGTGCAAGAACATTCTTGCACAAGTCTAACTACAAAGAAAAGCGCAAATGAAAGAACATTGAATAAACAGCTTCATTAGTTGACATTCCGACTCTCATAAAATGTGTTAACATTGTAGTCGCTCTTAGAATAGT